CAAATAACCACTAGCAAGACAGTATGCAATGTGTTAATTATTGAAACTACCCTAACAATTTGATTTTAAACTGTCTCATTGCTATTAGTTTCTCAATAAAATTATGGAAAAAAATCATATATAGAGCGACTTTGTTTTATTTCAATGAGAAGAAAGTTTGTACTAATATTGTTTAGAAAAGATATCATGTCTTCATCTTCTCCTCTGAATCACTACCCTGAAGACAACAATATTCAATGTATTATTTACTGTAATAGTCCTGCTAATCTATTCTGAAACTGTTTCATTGCTATTTTATCTTTTTTTCTCATTAAAATGAATAAAAAATTTAAAATATATATGCCTTTACTTTAGTATTTTTTTTAATTTAAGTTTCTTGGTACAATTTACATACGCATAACAACACAGTCTTCATAGGGAATCAGTACCCGTACATTACATATTCTGGTTCCTTATTTTTTCCATCTCCCCTCCCCTCCCTGCAATCCCTCTTCCTCTCATTATTTAGAAACCTTTGTTTCCATTTGGTCCTACTTTATCATTTTCTTTCCCCTTTCTCTTCCTTCTTCCCCCCACTTTCTTATTTTTTTTTAATTTATTCATTTGTGTGTGTGTGTGTGTGTGTGTGTGGCCAGCTCAGCCCACCAGGGGGCGAGCTGGCTGGCATGTGGTGCTGGGGGATTGAACCGTGGTCCCTGGGCTTTGCTAAGCTTGTTCTAAGCAGGTGCTTTAGACAACTGAGCCATCTCACCAGCCCTTCCCCCCACTTTCTTTCTTTCTTTTTCTTTTTTTTTCTTCAGAACGAGGGATTGAACTCAGGCCCCTGCACTTGCCAGGCAAGCACTTATTCTACTGAGCTATCTCTCTGGCCCCCACTTCTTTCTTTTGAGCAATTGCTTCCTATTTGACAATACCTGTAACACACTTTTGTCCTTGATCTTTCAGTTTTCCCATAAAAGAAGCTGCCATGCCTACTCATGTGTGTCCAATTTATTTCATTAAAGAGTGCGATCTCAAGGTGCATTCATTTACCTAGACATGCCTCAAGTTTATCCATCTTCAGGGATAAGTAGTACTCCATTATATAAAAAACACACCTTCTTTATCTATTTCTGAGTTGAAGAGCATTTGTGTTGTTTACAAGAGTTAAATATTATGAGCTGCGCTAATATAAAATGGGTATGCATGTATCATTGTAGTATGATGTTTTTAACTCTATGAGGAAGACACATGAAGGGGAATAGCTAGGTCAAGTGGCATCTGTAATCCTAGCTTTTTGAGGAATCTTCACACTGATTTTCACAGCAGTTGCACCAGTCTATACTCCTACTAACAGTGGAGAAGGAATCCCTTTTCCCCACATCCTCACCAGCATTGGTTATTAGGTGATTTCTTGATAAGTGTCATTCTTTCTGGAATAGAATAGAATAGAGGATGGAATCTCAGATGGCCATTACTTGATTGTGTCTTTGACATAAACCATGTTTTTCTTTTAACTTGATAGAATAAAATTATTATTTTATATTGCCAGATTATATATATACAAAACACATATTCAAAAAATACTAAAAGGTATACTCTACCTTTCACAATAGTAAAGCCTTATCTCTCAGTTTTAAAATGTATTTTGTAAATATTGAACTCTTCTTGGCTTAAACATTTGATCAACTATCGAGTGATAGCTTTAAAATATGTGCTTATACTTAAAGTTTTCCTGCTATTGGTTTTCTCTCTATAATCAGCATTTAAAAATATGTGATCCTCCAGTTCAGTTCCACAAATACTTACTGAACAATTTATAATGGAATATATAAAACTCCATGGAGTTGAAGGGTAAAATATTGAAGTAGTTCCTCATTTTCATACTGCATAATCGATAATTAGAGTAGTGTAACTAAAAGAATGATGCCTATTAGGACAGATTTTTTTTAGGTGCAATAGTTTGAAACCACGAAACTATATTTGTTGTTAATTAGAGGAAAGGGGCAGTAAGACATGACTTTTTAAAAAATTTAAAAATGGTTTATTAGTATGTGTTTATAAGCCATAGTGATTACTTTCTTCTTGGGGATTTGATACATATTTGTCACATTTATTTATGGTACCAGGGCTCAAAATCAGTACTTTGTGCTTGCCAGGGAAGCACTTATTCTACTGCACTATCTCCCCAGCCCCTATTTGTCACATTTTCATAATTTCTGTTTTCTCTGCTATTACAAACTGTACTGCTACAAGCAGTGGTGAAGGGTTCCTTTTGTCCTACAGCCCCACCAGCATGTGCATGGGATAATTCCAATTCCTGTGCATTTACTTAAGCAAGTTCTATGGCCTCGTACATGGTATAATTTGGAGAATGGCCCATGTTTACCTGAGAGGAATGTGTATTCTGATGTTGTGGGATAGAACACAGTCCATTTCTTCACAGGTTTGATTTAGTTCTCATATTTTTTGCTGATATTTGTCTAGTTGATCGGTCTATTTGTGTCAGTGAAGTATTAAGGTCTCCAGTTGAAACCATATTATTAAGTTAATTAAATCAGATATAGATTGTTAAATATTTTACAGTCTCTTATATAAGAAATACAAAATATAAAGAAATTAAAGACTGATATAAAAGATAACAGTAAACAGCAAGATAAGACTTTTGCAAAGATAAGGGAAACTAGAGAAGGAAAAAGGAGGGAGGAAGATGAAAAAAGTATTAAGGTCTCCAGTTGAAACCATATTATT